ATACCGGTCGCAATGACGGCGAGCATAAGAGACATATTCGTGCAGATAAAAATACAGAACGACGATCAAACGGCACAGCAATTTTTGTGGCGAAGCGAGGACTGGACACAACCGCTTCAAAAATACGTCATGACACTAGGATTCGCAAATCTCTGTGTACGAAGGGTTCCCAATAAGTGGTTGAATCAGTGACTATTCAAAAGTGCTTATATTAAGTTTATTTGAATAATGTATAGTAGACATTGTCTACGGCACTACAATGGGTGGAGAGCTGTGAACGGGGCAGTTCTAGGTGAAGCGGGGCGAGTGGCGAGCAGATATAAATTATTATTAGTTAGAAATAAATGATTTCTATTTATTAAAACCATTATCAACATAGTGACGAGACGAGACAAATAGGCTTCTGAACCACTGGTTCCATAAGTAGTTAAAGCAATATCAGAAGAGGTAAGTAAATAAATGAATTGTTTTAACCTTTATACAATATCTGTAGTAGATTTTATATGTTCCAAATTCAAATAGAAATACAAGACTTGGGTCACCGAGTAATAGATATTAATCATTTTATATCAGAACCAATAATTTTTTCTCAACAATTATCTTTTTAAGTGCGGATTAACTACAATGAAATTAGTTTCTGAACGTCATAAATTGGTTTGCAATTTGAATTTACATATGTAGGGCGTGTTCAAAAAACAAATGAAACACAGATAAAGAAATAAAATGCGGAGAAATGCTGTCGGCCTTGCATTTGTCCACAACAGCTCGGTAACAAACCTACAATGATTAAAATATCGGAGTACTTAATGAGTAAAGTATAAAACGTTATGAGTATACTCTAAAATACTCTATAAAATATACACGAGTGTCCAAAAAATTCTTCGTCTTGTATCCCATACAATTTGTCAATCGCTCAAAAAAGGCTCGTGTCGATTGGTCGAAAGAAGTGTTTAAAAAATACGATCGCGGTGCTTCAAAACACGTCAAAGACATCGTGACGATCGTGGATTTACACGTATGAGCGAGAAAGTAAACATCAGTTCATTGTATGGGTATTTCAAGATGAGCCAATGTTGTTCGCGCACGAAGCACTTCCAAGCAAATTATCGCCTGTTGTTTTTTTTTTTTCACTAAAAACTGAACATGTCGCAACCGTACTACTAAAACAACGCAGAATATAGTAAATTCTGATTAGTCCACAACCATTTGTTTGCCAGTTGTCATCCAAGACATCACGAAAGCCAAAGAGGGATCACTCTTCACGACGACAATGCCAGCTCACACATCGGTTCAAACAACTGCATTTTTGAGCACTCGAAAGCATCGATTTGATGAGTCATCTGCCGTATAATCCTGACTTGGCACCGAATGATTTTTTTTATTCCACTAAGTAAAAAAGAAACTAAGATATCAACGATTTTCGAGATCTGAAGAAGCGGTTGATGCGTTCAGAATGTATATTTCAGAGATACCTCAATCAGAGTGACAAAAGTGCTTCCACAATTGGTTAAAACGCATGCAAAAGTGTGTAGATCTTCATGGGGACTATTTGAATTGAAACAATAAAGCTATTTTCGATGATTAATATTTGTTTTTGTTCTCTAATCCGAAATATAAAAGGCAACCCTCGTACTAATCAGCGAATTCAAATTGAATAAGATTTTTTAAGCTCCTTAAATTGCATTTTAAAATCCTAAATGACCTCTAAAAACAAAAATAATTAACATTTTAAAGATGAGAGTCGCCCAGTCGACCCTCCTTTGCGTCATGTAGTGCGTAAAACGGACAATTCTCTGATCATTCCATCTCAAACAATTGGTTAGAAATAGGACAAGTCACGGTTACCTTATCAAATTCATAGAGATACAGTTAATAGCTAGATTTGTTATCAACACTTAAGGTTATTTTCATTCTTTCTATGACAGATATGTATATTTACTTATGATAGAGGCTATTCTTGTAAGATCTCAATGTTCCTGTGTTTTTTATGTATATTTTTTTTATTTTACACTAGTTGATGAATGAATTTGGTTATTCCTAATCTGTATGGGGGTGGAATTTTGTTACACAGTGATTAATTTAAATGCAATTAAAAAATTGGGAATGTGATGAAATCTTGCCCTCTGATGTACGGGACGTTACAACTCAAGTTACATGAATTGATTGCGAGAATGAACGCCGGCGAATTTTAGTATTTGATAAGCCCTGAACCAGCGATCTAACGTGGTTATTAAGTAGGTGAAGAACTTGTTAATATTCCACCGAATGTACACATCGTATATAGTCTGGCCATAAATACTGTTACAGTAAAAACTAAACAAAATCTTATATTTAAACTGCCATCAAATTTCGGCAAAGAAAAAAAAAAGAGGCAAACCTGTACATTAGTTAAGCAAAAAGTTACACTAAGCAAGACTTTAGAGGCATGTGGTATAAAAATCTCTACACACAGATCACTTGTTGTCTGTCTATATAAAACACGAAATTCGGACCCCATACTATTTACAAATTAGAGCAGTTTTTAAATACATAATTAAAAATCAAACACTATCAGGAGACCCTAACATTGTTATCACAGGTAATTTTAATATAATACATTGAGACAAGGAAAAGTTAACAATTATTTGCAAGATTTATCCAAATTTTCTACAAGGCGGGACTCATGTATTGATCACACTGTCAGTAATATAAAAAACAACTGCTACAGTTTTACCACTATACTTGTCAAATTATGATACAACAACACACTAAGCATTCCAAAACAAGAATTGTTTATAACGTGACATACTAATGTATGTATATAGTATACAAGAACAAACAACTAGGTATAAGGGTTCTAAAAAATTTAGATCACTCTACTACATGGTATACCGCTCTACACGCGCGACCCGCTCCCGAGCGACCTACTCTCCACCGGGTGATCGCGTCACTTACGTGACGTGGCGGCGTTAAGCCAGCTCGGCGAGCGACTTATTGAATCTCGCCACACAATGCCCACAGCCGGATGCTGGTAACAGCTGAGGTGGTTCACCCCAGCAGAATGCCCGGGTAAGGAGCGCAAGCTCGGGGCCCGTACCCAGCTGTCCACATGGACCAGCGGACGACCCGGTATGTACCAGAAAACTTCTAGCGGCACACATGTTTTCTACAGGGTATTGCCAGAAATGTGAAATGGGACTTTTTTAAATGAAAATAGGAGAGTCTCGGGCCGGAGCTTCTATGTTTCGGTCGAGAACTGTGATTCTACCACACGCCCAATTGCCGCCGGAGTCCCGCAGGGCAGCTGCATTTCGCCAGCGCTCTACGCGACGTACACAGACGACATCCCCACCTTGAGGGATGAGCTCCGAGAGGGAGAGAGGGATGTCGTCCTCGCTCTTTTCGCCGACGACAGTGCCTTTCTTACGTCGTATCGCCGAGCCTACGCAGCCGCTCGCAAAATGCAGCGGCTGTTGGACCTGCTCCCCGAGTGGCTGGATAAGTGGCGTACCACCGTTAACGTGGGTAAAACGGTGGCGCTGCTTACCCGCCCCGGGTGCAAATGCCCGCCGCCCCTCTTACTGAGAGGCCAGCCCATCCAGTGGGAGCGCACAGTGCGTTACCTAGGGGTGGAAATCGACCGGTCGCTGCGTATGACGCCGCAGGTGGACCGGGCTGTTACCCAAGCCAAGGCTGCGCGCGCTATGCTGCGACCGGTCTTGCAATCCCTGCAGCTGCGGACGAAAGTAGGCATTTATAAGACCTACATTCGTTCGCGGCTCACATATGCCGCCCCCGCATGGTACGCACTGTGCTCGGCCTCACAGCGGCGGAGACTGCAGGTCCAACAGAACGCCGCCCGCCCTCCGTCTGTGCACAAATGCCGGACGGTACGTCCGTAATGACGTGATCGCCCGCGACCTCAAGGTCCCATCGGTGGAGCAGTTCGTCGTCCGGTTGACGCGCGCGATGTTCTCGCGCGCGGACAGCGGGCGCGAAGCGCACCTGCGCGACCTCGCCCCTCTCCACGCGCGCCCACCGGACGCCACTCGCGCGCTCCCGCGCGACTTACTCTCCACCGAGTGATCACGTCATTTACGTGACGTGGCGGCGTTAAGCCGGCTCGGCGAGCGACTTATAGAGTCCCCCCCCACGACTCCCCCAGCCGGCTGCTGGGAAGCAGCCGGCTTCCGGCCGGCCGGCAGGCCGGCCGGTAAACGAACGACGCTGGGGTGGTATACCCCAGCAGTATGCTCGGGTAAAGAGCGTAAGCTCGGGGCCCGTACCCAGCGGTCCAATTAGGACCAGCGGACGACCCAATAATAAATAAATAGGATATAGGCTTTCCAGTTTGCTGCTCGAAGTGCTAACCGTTGGTCGTGTGATCCTCTGTGAAATTCCGGTCCGCCGTTGAGTTTCCAGAGTGAGCCCCGCAACGGTGCCCTCCTGCGCAAACTGTCGAGAGCCATACGGTGCCATCCCACGCTGCTCAATTGTGTCCCCGGACTCGATTGCTCAGTGAGAGATTGCGCTAGGGTTGCAGTACAAATTTGTTGACGCAAATTTGACACTGCAATCCACCTGCGAACTCTTATACAGTGTAACCATTTTAACGCTATCCATAGCACTTAGGGTAGCGACACTCCCGTCCTTTTCAGGGCGGTTACCTGCCCTTCTCAGGGCGGTGTTTCTCCCGCCCTTCTCAGGGCGTTGTATTCCTGCCCTTCTCAGGGCGGAGGTCCACAAAGGCCTGACGAGGCCCAACAGCTCCTGCAGATCCTGAAGTGCACCACCGGCCTGCCGTACGCGCCCGTGCGCAACGCGACCGCGAACGTTGGTAGGCTAGGTAGGGACTGTAGGTTCGGCAGTGGGGTTCCAGCCCCCACACTACCCTCTCCAACCCCGCAGGTGTCGCCTCACGGGGAGGACAAGTGCACCTGCGTAAGGTTGGTTGGGGCGCGGCCTGAACCTCCATTTGGGCCATGTCGCTTTCCCATATTGTTCACCCTCTTGCAGGGTAAATGTCCCAACGGGGAAAGGACCCCCGCACAGTTGTGCGTCGGGATCTCGCAGACCCGACGAAAATCGTCCCCACGACGGAACTGGGGACGTTTTATTCTCGCCCAGCACCCAAGGGCAATCCCTCCGCCCTCGCGGGAAGCGGCAATGATGCCGCCGACCGGGAACAAGGCGGAGGGCAAAGGGCCGCACAACCCGGCCCCTCTAAACGGCGCACGCCGCCGTCGCCGCCCATTAGAGGCGACAAGCGGAGGGACACCGAGGAGTCCCCTCCATCTGACCTCGACCTAGAAAGGTCACCACCGAGGCCGCAAATGCGCCTCGTGGACAGGGACTACCAGCCCCTGTCCGTGTCTAGTACCGTGCGGCGATTGTCGCTAACCCCCCCCCCCCCACCGCGCTCACCCTCACCCCCGGCCAATAGCGGGGGTGAAGAAGGCAGGGAGGATGAGTATTACTACGGCGGCGCTTATTCGTCGCCACAATCCCCGATGCCCACTCCCCGCGCATTGCCCCGATCATTCACACTGAACCGGGGCGATTTCGACGCGACGTCATACACGGGCATTCAAACCGACCCGTCCACCGAGTCGGTCCCACCTCCCGTCCCGTCGCCGAGGACGAGGACCCCACCGTCGTTCGCAGCGGTAGCGGCGGGACCGCCTACCCCGACCGCCGGCACAGTAAACGCGCCGGTAGCGTCGGCCCCCCCCCAACCCACGGGGAGTGAAGGGCCTGCCACACAGGCGGCGAAATACCCGCCAATAGTGGCAGAGAGGTTGCCCAATTGGACCCGTCACTTTACAAACCTGACGAAGGTCCTGGGTGAGGCACCCAATGCTCGTCCCTACGGCACGGGATTCCGGTTTCTCCCGAAATCGGACACAGAATTCCGTGCCGTACAAAAGTACCTAGTGGAGGCCGGGGAACGCGACCCGGCCATAAGCTGGTATTTCTACAGCCTGGCCTCGGAGCTGCCAACCAAAACAGCCATAAGAGGCCTCCCAGCCGATACCCCCATTGACAGCATTGTGGAAGCGTTAGAGCTCAAGGGGTTCGGGGTGCGTCTGGTGCGCGGCATACCGGCGCGCCGCGGCCGCCCTGGGGCTGTGTGGAAACCGCACACAGCCAACGACCGCAAGTGTGCGGTCTACAAGAGGGAGGCCAGGCAGAGGGGCATGAAACCCCGCCCCCCCTTCCCCCCAGTGCCTAATACAGTGCCCAGGGCGCCTCAACGTCGCGGTATACCCACCGCGACGCCGCGCACATACGCGGCGCAAGTCCCCCCGCCAGCGGTTATTGTAGCGGTGGTCGCGGGCGCCTGTCTAATGGCGCCGGCAAACGAGCCGACGCAACGCGGCGCCGGCGCCGCTGCTCCCAAAAAGCGGCGCCGGCGCAGGCGCGCTAAAAGAAGGACCGGCGGCGAGCCAGTGAAGGCGTCAACGCCGATCCCCACTCGCCATGTCCAGACAGCCACAGTTACAGAAAAGGGCCCCCGAGAATTAACAGTAACAACTCAAAAACAGCGGGGCCCGCAAGCCGCGCCTCGCCGCCGCCAGGCGGCGCCACCAGCATATAATACGCCGATTGTGGCTGCCGGGCCGCTATTGGCTGGCGCACAAAACGCGCCCCCCGCACCTCCCGCACCCCAGGTAACGCGCTCGGCGCGCAGATTGCCCGCGACCCAAAAAACACACAAGCGCCCGTCAACAGTGCATTAGAAATGCTTATTAGCCTGTTGACGGAGCTGCTACTCGCGCTCGCGGCCGGCGTAGACATCAAGTCGGCGGCGATAAAAGGATTGGCCAAAATAAACCCGTACACTAATGGTGTGTGAGCTCATATTTGTGTACTGGAACCCCGGGGGAGTGAAGGATAAAATCCAGGACCTCCGTCACCTAGCTCGCACCCAGGATGTACATATTACATATAGCCAAGGCCGCACGCGCAATGCTGCGACCGGTCCTACAATCTAGGCTGCAGCTGCGAACGAAGGTAGGGATCTACAAGACCTACATTCGTTCCCGGCTCACATATACCTCCCCCGCATGGTACGCACTGTGCTCGGCCTCACAGCGGCGGAGACTGCAGGTCCAACAAAACGCCGCCCTCCGTCTGTGCACTAATGCCGGACGGTACGTCCGCAACGACGTGATCGCCCGCGACCTCAAGGTCGAATCGGTGGAGCAGTTCGTCGTCCGGTCGACGCGCGCGATGTTCTCGCGCGCGGACAGCGGGCGCGAAACGCACCTTCGCGACCTGGCCCCGCTACACGCGCGCCCACCGGACGCCACTCGCGCGCTCCCGCGCGACCTACTCTCCACCGAGTGATCACGTCGCTTGCGTGACGTGGCGGCGTTAAGCCGGCTCGGCGAGCAAAATATGCCTCCCACCACATCACGCCTATAGGCGCCTGCCGAAAAGCAGGCGCCTTCCGGCCGGCTGGCAAGCCGGCCGGTAAACGAACGACGCTGGGGTGGTTCACCCCAGCAGTACGCCCGGGCAAAGAGCCCTGCTCGAGGCCCGCACCTGCGGTCCGCAAGGACCAGCGGACGACGTCGACCTGAAAATAGGAGATCGGCTTTCCAGTTTGCTGCTCGAAGTGCTAACCGTTGGTCGTGTGATCCTCTGTGAAATTCCGGTCCGCCGTTGAGTTTCCAGAGTGAGCCCCGCAACGGTGCCCTCCTGCGCAAACTGTCGAGAGCCATACGGTGCCATCCCACGCTGCTCAATAGTGTCCTCGGACTCAATTGCTCGGCGGGAGATTGCGCTAGGGTTGCAGTACAAATTTTTTGACGCAAATTTGACACTGCAATCCACCTGCGAACTCTTATACAGTGTAACCATTTTAACGCTATCCATAGCACTTAGGGTAGCGACACTCCCGTCCTTTTCAGGGCGGTTACCTGCCCTTCTCAGGGCGGTGTATTCCCGCCCTTCTCAGGGTGGTCTATCCCTGAACTTCTCAGGGCGGAGGACCACAAAGGCCTGACGAGGCCCACCAGTTCCAGCAGTTCCCGAAGTGCACCACCGGCCTGCCGTACGCGCCCGTGCGCATCGCGTCCGAGAACGTCAAAAGGCTAGGTAGGGTTGCTAGGGACTGTAGGTTCGGCAGTGGGGTTCCAGCCCCCACACTACCCTCTCCAACCCCGCAGGTGTCGCCTCACGGGGAGAATAAGTGTATCTGCGCAAGGTTGGTTAGGGCGCGGCCTGAACCTCCATTTGGGCCATGTCGCTTTCCCATATTGTTCACCCTCTCGCAGGGTAAATGTCCCAACGGGGAAAAGCCCCCCGCACAGTTGTGCGTCGGGATCTAGGAGACCCGACAAAAATCGTCCCCACAACGGAACTGGGGACGTTCTATTCTCGCCCAGCACCCAAGGGCAATCCCTCCGCCCTCGCGGGAAGCGGCAATGATGCCGCCGACCGGGAACAAGGCGGAGGGCAAAGGGCCGCACACCCGGGCCCCTCTAAACGGCGCACGCCACCGCCGCCGCCCAGAGGAGGTGGTCGCCGGCGCCTGTCTTATGGCGCCGGCAAACGAGCCGACGCAACGCGGCGCCGGCCCCGACGCTCCTAAAAAGCGGCGCCGGCGCTGACGCGCTAAAAAGACCGGCGTCGAGCCAGTTAAGGCATCGATGTCGATTCCCCCACAACATGTCCAGACGACCACGGTCGCAGACAGAGGGCCCCCAGTAGCAACGGTACCGACCGAAAAACAACGGGGCCCGCGAGCCGTGCCTCGCCGCCGCCAGGCGGCGCCACCGGCGCATAATATGCCGATAGTGGCTGCCGGACCGCTATTGGCCGGCGCACAAAAAGCTCCCCCCCACCTCCCGCACCCCGGGCTGCGCGTTCGGCGCGCGGATTGCCCGTGACAGAAAAATACACACAAGCGCCCGTCAACAGTGCATTAGAAATGCTGATTAGCCTGTTGACGGAGCTGCTGCTCGCGCTCGCGGCCGGCGTTGATATCAAGTCGGCGGCGATTAAAGGATTGGCCAAGATAAACCAGTACACTAATGGTGAGTGAGCTCAGATTAGTGTACTGGAACCCCGGGGGAATGAAGGATAAAATCCAGGACCTCCGTCACCTAGCTCGCACCCAGGATGTACATATTATACTCCTGGGTGAAACGAAGTGCAGTTGCAGCGAGTGCAAAGGAGACGTTGAGGGTGCCTAACTACCACGTGTATAGACACGACGAAACGTCGCCGACGGGCTACGCGTATCGCGGTACTGCGGTACTAGTCCGCCGGGACGTGGTCCACGTGGAGTTAGAGCGCCCCGATTTCCGCGTTATGCGCAGCACAGGGGTCCGCATCAACGTCGACGGCGCGGAACTGAAGGTCCTGGCAGCATACCCCCCCCCGGGTCCCGAATTTTTCCCCACCCATATCCGGAACGTTCTGGATGGGAGGAGCCTACCCTGTTAATGGGCGACCTCAATGCGAAGCACACGGCTTGGGCTTCCCGTCGTGATTCGCAGGCGGGTCGTAGGCTCCTCCGGGACTCACAAGTCCATGGGTATGAGGTGTTGGGGCCCCCGCACACCCCACCCACATACCCGCAAATCCCAACCACAGCCCAGACGTTCTGGATATTGCCCTAGCGCAGGCTGTGCCCTGCCCGGTGACACTGGAGGTGCTGTACGACCTCGATACGCAGCACCTCCCTGTCCTAGCCACGCTTGACCTTGAGTTGGGGACTTTTTACGCTCGCCCGGCATTGGCGGGCGTACAAAATGCGCCCCCTGCACCTCCCGCACTCCATGCGACGCGTTCGGCACGCAGAATGCTCGCGTCCGCAACCAATATACAAGCGACCGTCAACAGTGCATTAGCTTCAGAGGCGGCCATTCGACGACTTTGCAGTTGACGCGCGTGCTCCACCACCTTGGTATCGAGCACAATCGTGGCCAAAGGAAGAGAGAGATGTCGTCCTCGCTCTATTCGCCGACGACAGTGCTTTTCTCACGTCGTCTCGCCGAGCTAGTTTGTTGCTTGAAGTGCTAACCGTTGGTCGTGTGATCCTCTGCGAAATTCCGGTCCGCCGTCGAGTTTCCAAAGTGAGCCCCGCAACGGTGCGCTCTTCCGCAAACTGTTAAGAGCCATATGGTGCTATCCCACGATACCCAATAGTGTCTACGCACTCAATTGTTCAGTGAGTGATTGAGCTAGGGTTGCAGTACAAATTTGTTGACGCAAATTTGAATCTGCAATCCACCTGCGACTGCTTATATAACCATTTTAACGCTACCCATTGCACACAGGGTAGCATTCCCGTCCTTTTCAGGGCGGCGGGCGGTTATCTGCCCTTTACACGGCGGTGATCCCCCCGTCCTTCTCAGGGCGGTGTAACCATTTGGGCCGTGTCGTACTCCCACTTTGTTCACCCTCTCGAAGGGTAAATGTCGCAACGGAGAAAAGCCCCCGCAAACCCCCCGACAGGGGGACCCCCGCACAGTTGTGCGTCGGGATCTCTCAGACCCGACAAAAATCGTCCCCACTACAGAACTGGGGACGTTTTACGCTCGCCCAGCACCCAAGGGCAATCCCTCTGCCCTCGCGGGAAGCGGCAATGATGCCGCCGACCGGGAACAAGGCCGCACAACCCGGCCCCTCAAAACGGCGCACGCCACCGTCGCCGCCCATAAGAGGCGACAAGAGAGGCCACAATTTCGCCTCGTGGGCAGGGGTCATCAACCCCTGTCACAACCTAGTACTGTGCGGCGATTGTCGCCCCCCCCGCCGCCGCCCCCTCCCCCCCGGCTAACAGCGGGGGTGAAGAAGGAAGGGAGAACGAATTCTTTTACGGCGATGCCTATTCGTCGCCGCAATCGCCTGAGCCCGCACCCGCGCATCGCCCCGTTCGTTCACATTGAACCGGGGCAATTTCGATGTAACATCGTATGCGGACATAATCACCGACCCGTCCACCGAGTCGGTCCCACCTCCCGTCCCGTCGCCGAGGACGAGGACCCCACCGTCGTTCGCAGCGGTAGCGGCGGGACTGTCGTCCCCGACCACCAGAACGGTGGCCGCGCCAGTAGCGTCGGCCCTCCCCCAACCCATGGGGAGTGAAGGGCCTGCCACAGCAGCGGCGAAATACCCGCCAATAGTGGCAGAGAGGCTACCCAACTGGACCCGCCACTTTCAGGAGCTGGCGAGGGTCCTGGGTGAGGCGCCCGATGCCCGCCCCTTTAGCACGGGATTCCGATTCCTCCCAAAGTCGGATGCGGAATTCCGTGCAATACAAAGATACCAAAAAAATCGCGTCAAAGTCGCTCAAAAATAAAGGTCATGTTGACTGTTTTTTTCGATTATCGTGGTGTTGTGCATTATGTATTATTACAGCCAGGCCAAACAGTCAACAAGGAGTATTCTTTAAACGTCATGCGTCGATTGCGTAACGCTATCCGCCTAAAAAGGCCGGAATTATGGAAAGACAATTCATGCACCATCCCATACTGCACTCTTAATTCGTGATCATTTCGCCAAAAACTCAATCCATATTATTCCGCAACCACCTTATTCACCTGATCTGGCGCCGTGCAACTTCTGGCTGTTCAGCAAGCTCAAAAGACCGCTCCGGGGATACCGTTTTGATACAATAGAGGAGATTCAAGCCGCAGCGAAGACGGAACTGAAGGCCATCCCAGAAAGTGACTTCAAACAGTGTTTCGAAAATTGGAAAATCCGTTGGCATAAGTGCATTGCA